AAACCAGCTCTTACTTGCATTATAAAAGACATGTTTGTCGTTTTCTTCACTGTTAAGCAAAACACGATCAGAAATACGGCTGGGTCGTTAATCGAGGTTACTGTTGTACGAAGTAGCTGTTAATCGAGTTATTAGTGTATAGGTTCTTCTGAGACGCTCTTCTCAGAATGCTAATCGGTACATTGTTCTTATCAATGTAACCGTAATTTTATGAATTGAATTTGATATGATTATATGAATTTGATATGAATATGTCAGAACTTTGTAAACTTTTATAATTTAACACATGTAGTATGAAAATAGTATGTGGGCTTACCTATTAAATAGTGTGCTAATCCGATTTATCCCCTTGTGAAATTCATTTGTGTCCAAAAAGTCTAAACCAAATTAATATAGTTACATCACGCAAATTTGAGTATGGGCTGCCAAATGTATTTATATTAATTTTGAAAGAACGACACAAGTTTTCTTGTTCATTGGTTACTTTTGCAAGAGACGAGTCGGTGGTCGGATCGTTTTTTTAGCGGCTTGTGTTTTTTCAATTGGATTTGGTTTTAAGGCTGGTATGTATCTTCCTCCAAAAAATTCGTGTTTCGTGATTCATGATTCGTGATTCGTGATACTTGATACGTGTTTCATGACTTCAGTTCGAATATATGTTCAACTTTTTTCAATTAATTCTGGAACTTGTTAAAAATATTTTATAGTATTAAGAATTTTTGATTTGTTTTCGCAACCGACAAGAACTTGAAACAGCCGCCAATTTTGCTTGTTCCAAGAAATAACTGCAAATATAATGCACATATTAAACAAAAAGTTTTAAAGAAATCATTGTTTCTTTATTTAAAGAATTTTAAAACTATAATTAAAAAACAAAAATTAACTATAAAAAAAAAATCACTGCAATTCACATATATTTAAGGTTATGTGACGTATTTGCAAAAAAAATCTCCATTTGAAATATTTATATAAGAATCATTGCGTGATGAGACTTAAGAAGGCGGCGGCAGTATTATTTTCGACATACTTTAAACATAAGAGTGCAATTGCTTTATTCCCTAATAATCAATGTTAAAAAACATATTTTTAATTCTAATAGTCAATTTTAAATACCGTTTCATATCTTATGATTGAGGAGTTCGTAAAAGCGGTCGCGATTTGAATGTTTGAAATTTGGTTCGTTTTATAGAAAACGGAATAATCAGGTATTCCTTTATTTAGATTTTGCTTACTTCAAAATGGATACTTTTGGAACTGGTGCAACTCAATCTGAAAGGAACGAGTGTGGAGTTTTAAACTCAAACTTAAATCATTTTGATGATTTTATGGAGAAATTTCCTGCAGACCCTGCTTACATTGGTGCCATAATTGGTCGTGGCGGTTGTAAAATTAAAGAAATTAGAACAAACTTCAACGTTTATATACATATAAACAATGACACCAAGGAAATTTCTGTCAAGGGTCGTAATAGAAAAAATGTTGACGATGCAGTCAAATATATTCGTGATATTATGTCTGGTCAAGAAAATAGAAATTTTTCATTTCCAAATCACGAAGTCTCGCACAATCCCAAAGTTGTATTAAAAGAAAATACAATGAATCGTTTTAATGCTTCTTCCGAAAATGACAATATTCAGGTTGCAGCTCCAAAATCTGTAAGTATAAATTAAAAAGAAGGAGAATATGGATATATATTAATATAATATCTCATAACAAAATTGATTTAGGGAGAAAGTGGTGGAATTAGATTAAATGCGCCTACGAAAAATGTATATAATGGTGGCGCCGAAAACCATGTAGTATTGCAGCCTATCGATTGGGAAACTTTGAATAGAAAAGTTGTAAGAAAAATTTTTAAAATCTACATATTAAGTTATCGATTTACCATATTTATTTTGCTCACATGAGGCATTTTTGATTACAGGAAGAACATCGTAGGTTACACTGGGCGCATCTGCCAGACTTGAGAAAAAATTTTTATGAAGAAGTAGAGGAAGTCGCTATTAAGACAGAAGAAGAAGTGAATGAAATGCGTTATTTAAACAATAATATAAGTGTTTCCCGTTTGGTGACAAATGAAGATCAAATGTGTCCTGATATACCGAAACCAATTTGGAAATTTCAACATTGTTTCAAAGATTATCCTGATATCCTTGATGAGTTAAAGAAACAAAATTTTAATGAACCATCACCAATACAGAAGCAAGCATGGCCTATATTATTGAGAGGCGAGGATATGATAGGTATAGCCCAAACAGGGACTGGAAAAACTTTAGCATTTCTGCTTCCTGCTTTGATTCATACTGATGGACAGACTACACCACGTGAGAAACGTAATGGTCCAAATATATTAATTTTAGCGCCAACGCGAGAATTAGCATTACAAATAGCAAAAGAAGTTAACAAGTACTCGTTCCGTGGAATAAAAGCGTAAGTTAGGAAATAGTTAAACCATAGTTTAAAATGAATGAAGAAAAAAATTATTCAATGAAGAAATTCTTATTCAGTGTATGCATTTATGGTGGTGGGAATCGTCGTGACCAAATTAGTGTTTTCAAAGAAGGAGCTGAATGCGTTATTTGTACTCCTGGACGTCTTAATGATTTGGTTCAAGCTAAAGTTATAGACATTACATCAGTTACATATTTAATACTAGACGAAGCGGATCGTATGCTGGATATGGGTTTCGAGCCACAGATCCGAAAAATTCTACTCGACATACGTCCTGACAGGCAGACCGTCATGACTAGTGCCACCTGGCCACCAAGTGTTGGTAGATTGGCCGAAAGTTATATGAACAATCCTATTCAAGTGTGTGTTGGTTCGCTTGATTTAACTGCCACTCATACTGTGAGTCAAAATGTAGAACTCTTGGAGGATGCGGACAAATTTAATACGGTAATATTATTTGAAAACTTAAATAAGAAGAATTATGAAGAACAATGTATTTATTCTTGTTGCAGGTCCTTGCATTTTTAAAAAACCTTAAATCAACCGATAAGGTTATTATCTTCTGTTCTAAGCGAGCTCGTGCTGACGATTTGTCCAGTGATTTATCTCTAAAAGGCCTGTCAACACAATGTATACATGGTTCTCGTGATCAGGTACATAATGCATTAACTTAATTAGAGTAATGTCTCAGAATATAAAATTCTTATAAACTTAAAAAAAATTGTCTTTAGACCGATCGAGAACAAGCACTGGCTGATATAGCGTCAGGTGATATACAGGTTTTGATAGCGACAGATGTTGCTTCAAGAGGTTTAGATATTGAGGATATTACGTAAGTGCTTAGTAGTATTTGAAACCGAATTTGTTGTATTAATTGTTTTTCATTTAGTCATGTTATTAATTTTGATTTTCCGCGTAATATTGAGGAGTATGTTCATCGTGTTGGTAGAACTGGACGCGCTGGGCGAACTGGCACTGCCATAAGTTATATAACACGCTCGGATTGGGGTGTTGCAAAGGATCTCATTCGTATTTTAGAAGAAGCTGGTCAAGCAGCTCCAGAAGAACTATACAGAATGTCCAATCGTTTTGAGAAGATGAAAGAAAGACGTGGTACAGATTTTAAAAGGGGTGGTGGTTTTAATCGCCGTTACTAAATGATATTTTTTTAATATATGGTAGGGGTATTATTCGATAAACAAGATCGTGAATAACCCTGTTTGATTCGAACCGATCAGTGTTTTACTTAAAAAAGTGTTGATCGTTAAAATTGAAAATTAATTAACAAACTATTTCTAATGTTATTAGTATAGTAATGTACAATAAGAAAAATCTAAAATAAAATTAATTAAAAATGTGTATTATTTAAATTGAAATACAAAATTACATTTTAGAATAAGGTTTTAAATAAGAAATATTTAAAATATGTTTTTTATACAGTGAACTTTGTTAATTTAATAAATTTAATCAATTACAACTTTATGATGATTCTATTGTGTTCTTACTTTTTCGTTTGTAAAAGTTTCAACTTTTTCCTGAAAATAAGATATTTTATTTGAAATTTTTTTAAGATGGAGATTAATTATTTGTACAGGCAACGATGTGAGTTAAATATTGTAATCGCTATATACGATTTTTAATCAGAGGCTGATAAAGTTGATTAAATTTCTGTATTAGTAAGTTTTCTAGTTGTTTCATTTAAAATGAATTTTAATAGGATTCAGTTTTAATAGGATTCATAAATGTATTGGATGAGGTATAAAATGAACTTAATATAAAATATATATTTTTTTCACATTATACATATTTAATTTGAATGTTATTTTAAACAGACAATTGATAGACAATTGATCACTGCTTAAGTATAGTACTGTAGTCAAGTCAAGGTCAAGTCAAGCCAATGAATGCCATTATACTAACTTGAAATCTTTACTATCACTTCGAATGATCATTTCTCACTAAGCCATAGATAAGACCTCCTAAGAAATCAATTCATCTGATCAGCGAAGATCGTTATCGATGTCATTTGAAATAAATCTTTAATTTAATTAATTTAAATAATAAACGTCATTTAATTTAATAAAATTTGTTAAAGTTGTATACATATAATATTTAATAAAAGCAGCTATACGCAGATACGTGTTAACATGGCTGTCTGATTAAATGGAAAAGAAAGAAATTAGAAAGCACGCTTTCCAAATATTGATAAATTTTATCAATAATTTTATTTTATTATTCCATTGCGAGTGTAGATATATATTGTTCGATTTGTGGACTATAGAACAAGTAACATATAGTTGTTCATGTGGAAGATTATCTGTGTTGAGAGTTGAACCACAGTATCCTAAATATTGAACTAAGCTCGCTTTAGATGGTGATTGCAGACGCCAATAGAATTGTGAATTGCAATCTTTTGAATTGAAATGGCATATCCGTTAGAATTATTGGATTGCGGAGATTAAAGACATCTTTACCTTTGAGAGAGGTCTGTAATATTTGTATGATTAATATAATATTGTTATATATGATAACTGATACTCCGATTTTCAATCACAGTAAATGGGGTAGAATCGATTACGGTTAGAGTGAATTAAAAAATTCTGTTTGCTATTTAATCTGTTTGTATGATTTCTTATTTACATGTCGGTTGCTAATTAACAGAATTTCAAAGTGAATTGAGTAGCTCTTCAAAATGATGTAGCATTTATCATTATCATTTTGGAATGAAATTATTTTTCAATATTTTATAACACTCGCGACAAAAGATTGGCCATTGACAAATCAATAGACACAAAAGGGAAAACCAAACGATATATTTTGAATAAATCACCGCCTATTGCACAAAATATATAAAAAATCATTAACATAATTCTTAATATAATGAACTCAAAAACAATCCGAGCTACTCTGACGAAATAGATCTTTAATTTTGAGATCTCTAGTTGCCTCTTTCTCTGCAAATTTAGCAGATTTTTCATTTACGTTGGTATCAGGTACAGGCACAGGGTTTTGACGACGTATTCCAGACGTAAGTGCTTCCAAAATTTCTTAAGAGATCACATTTTTGTTTTTTTCCACGACTGATCTCTGTTTGACATTAGTATGACATTTTTAATGTTGTACCTTTTGCAGAAAGTTTTATGGTATATTGATTCTCAAACCAGCTCTTACTTGCATTATAAAAGACATGTTTGTCGTTTTCTTCACTGTTAAGCAAAACACGATCAGAAATACAGCTGGGTCGTTAATCGAGGTTACTGTTGTACGAAGTAGCTGTTAATCGAGTTATTAGTGTATAGGTTCTTCTGAGACGCTCTTCTCAGAATGCTAATCGGTACATTGTTCTTATCAATGTAACCGTAATTTTATGAATTGAATTTGATATGATTATATGAATTTGATATGAATATGTCAGAACTTTGTAAACTTTTATAATTTAACACATGTAGTATGAAAATAGTATGTGGGCTTACCTATTAAATAGTGTGCTAATCCGATTTATCCCCTTGTGAAATTCATTTGTGTCCAAAAAGTCTAAACCAAATTAATATAGTTACATCACGCAAATTTGAGTATGGGCTGCCAAATGTATTTATATTAATTTTGAAAGAACGACACAAGTTTTCTTGTTCATTGGTTACTTTTGCAAGAGACGAGTCGGTGGTCGGATCGTTTTTTTAGCGGCTTGTGTTTTTTCAATTGGATTTGGTTTTAAGGCTGGTATGTATCTTCCTCCAAAAAATTCGTGTTTCGTGATTCATGATTCGTGATTCGTGATACTTGATACGTGTTTCATGACTTCAGTTCGAATATATGTTCAACTTTTTTCAATTAATTCTGGAACTTGTTAAAAATATTTTATAGTATTAAGAATTTTTGATTTGTTTTCGCAACCGACAAGAACTTGAAACAGCCGCCAATTTTGCTTGTTCCAAGAAATAACTGCAAATATAATGCACATATTAAACAAAAAGTTTTAAAGAAATCATTGTTTCTTTATTTAAAGAATTTTAAAACTATAATTAAAAAACAAAAATTAACTATAAAAAAAAATCACTGCAATTCACATATATTTAAGGTTATGTGACGTATTTGCAAAAAAAATCTCCATTTGAAATATTTATATAAGAATCATTGCGTGATGAGACTTAAGAAGGCGGCGGCAGTATTATTTTCGACATACTTTAAACATAAGAGTGCAATTGCTTTATTCCCTAATAATCAATGTTAAAAAACATATTTTTAATTTTAATAGTCAATTTTAAATACCGTTTCATATGTTATGATTGAGGAGTTCGTAAAAGCGGTCGTGATTTGAATGTTTGAAATTTGGTTCGTTTTATAGAAAACGGAATAATCAGGTATTCCTTTATTTAGATTTTGCTTACTTCAAAATGGATACTTTTGGAACTGGTGCAACTCAATCTGAAAGGAACGAGTGTGGAGTTTTAAACTCAAACTTAAATCATTTTGATGATTTTATGGAGAAATTTCCTGCAGACCCTGCTTACATTGGTGCCATAATTGGTCGTGGCGGTTGTAAAATTAAAGAAATTAGAACAAACTTCAACGTTTATATACATATAAACAATGACACCAAGGAAATTTCTGTCAAGGGTCGTAATAGAAAAAATGTTGACGATGCAGTCAAATATATTCGTGATATTATGTCTGGTCAAGAAAATAGAAATTTTTCATTTCCAAATCACGAAGTCTCGCACAATCCCAAAGTTGTATTAAAAGAAAATACAATGAATCGTTTTAATGCTTCTTCCGAAAATGACAATATTCAGGTTGCAGCTCCAAAATCTGTAAGTATAAATTAAAAAGAATGAGAATATGGATATATATTAATATAATATCTCATAACAAAATTAATTTAGGGAGAAAGTGGTGGAATTAGATTAAATGCGCCTACGAAAAATGTATATAATGGTGGCGCCGAAAACCATGTAGTATTGCAGCCTATCGATTGGGAAACTTTGAATAGAAAAGTTGTAAGAAAAATTTTTAAAATCTACATATTAAGTTATCGATTTACCATATTTATTTTGCTCACATGAGGCATTTTTGATTACAGGAAGAACATCGTAGGTTACACTGGGCGCATCTGCCAGACTTGAGAAAAAATTTTTATGAAGAAGTAGAGGAAGTCGCTATTAAGACAGAAGAAGAAGTGAATGAAATGCGTTATTTAAACAATAATATAAGTGTTTCCCGTTTGGTGACAAATGAAGATCAAATGTGTCCTGATATACCGAAACCAATTTGGAAATTTCAACATTGTTTCAAAGATTATCCTGATATCCTTGATGAGTTAAAGAAACAAAATTTTAATGAACCATCACCAATACAGAAGCAAGCATGGCCTATATTATTGAGAGGCGAGGATATGATAGGTATAGCCCAAACAGGGACTGGAAAAACTTTAGCATTTCTGCTTCCTGCTTTGATTCATACTGATGGACAGACTACACCACGTGAGAAACGTAATGGTCCAAATATATTAATTTTAGCGCCAACGCGAGAATTAGCATTACAAATAGCAAAAGAAGTTAACAAGTACTCGTTCCGTGGAATAAAAGCGTAAGTTAGGAAATAGTTAAACCATAGTTTAAAATGAATGAAGAAAAAAATTATGAAATTCTTATTCAGTGTATGCATTTATGGTGGTGGGAATCGTCGTGACCAAATTAGTGTTTTCAAAGAAGGAGCTGAATGCGTTATTTGTACTCCTGGACGTCTTAATGATTTGGTTCAAGCTAAAGTTATAGACATTACATCAGTTACATATTTAATACTAGACGAAGCGGATCGTATGCTGGATATGGGTTTCGAGCCACAGATCCGAAAAATTCTACTCGACATACGTCCTGACAGGCAGACCGTCATGACTAGTGCCACCTGGCCACCAAGTGTTGGTAGATTGGCCGAAAGTTATATGAACAATCCTATTCAAGTGTGTGTTGGTTCGCTTGATTTAACTGCCACTCATACTGTGAGTCAAAATGTAGAACTCTTGGAGGATGCGGACAAATTTAATACGGTAATATTATTTGAAAACTTAAATAAGAAGAATTATGAAGAACAATGTATTTATCCTCCTCGGTCCTGAAGGCTTCCCACAAAAAAAAAATTCTTAAAATCTTTTAGCTATTGTTTATATGCATTCAAATAAAAAAAAAAAATTGATTAGACGATTTTCTGTCGCACGGATATTGAGATATGGCAGGGGCAGCCAGCTGGACACTTGGAATATATAATGTAAAAAAAATGTGGTCTTTTAAATTTTTTCTATTATTACAAAATAAAAAGTTTTATTTATGAATTAAGGAAACTTATGAACTTTATTAAGTTATTTACTTTAAAATTATAAATTTTATATCTAAATTAAACAAAAATTACGAATTTCATTAAATTATATTAATTATCATTAATAAATTATATTAAAATATACGAATTATAGTTAAAACTACTTAAAACTAAGTTATGAATGAAACTCAAAAAAACATTGCCTATCATTAGCTATACATAAAAAAACATTACACGAAGTGCATTTAAATCTAGTTTTTTGATGACAACCCTCTCTGCGACAGCGCATAAACTTATTTTTATCTGTAACACCGCATATTGGTAAATGTCTGTTTTCAGTACGGCAGACATCCTCTGGTGGAAGTGGATTTGGTGTTTTGGTTTTTTTTCTAACCAATAAATCTTTATCACTTGAACTGCTCTCTGTGAACGCTTGATCATAAGTTCTTCTTTTGGATTCTGCACATGCAGCAAAGCATTCTCCAATATTCAGTTTGAATTCAAGCAAGTCCATGATCTCTTTTTTGCATACACCACACGCAAATTTGTCCTTCTTGTACATAACCCAGCAATTTGTTATTATCAGATCAACCATATGCCAAAATACTTTAACAGGCCACTTTTTTGTGCGAATAGCAATGCGATAATAGGAAATCAATCGATCTGCAAGATCGACATCACCCATTGAGTTATTATACCTTGTAATGGCATTTGGACAATTAATATTTACATATTTTTTTGTAGTTTTATTCCATCTCCGAACAGTTTGAATTGGGTCGGATCCAACCGCTGTAGTAGCTAGCAATACTGATTTGTTATCCATCCACTTGATGACAGATATTTTTTCATCTTGCCTGACTATCTCATCGAAACTACCTCTTCCTTTCTTTAAAAGATCTTTATCAAGAGATAGCTTTGTGCGCAATTCTTTTGGGATACGGTTTTGTTGAATTGTTCCCGTAGCATATATCTCATTTTCTAAGAGAAAAGTCAGTAAATTCATGGACGTAAAATATCTATCCATAAATATCTCACTGCCTTTGGGAACGTTTTTGGTCAGTCTTTCTACAACTGTGCCTCCAATGCCCAATGCTGGATTGGGTTTTCCACAGGGCCATGTTTTTGCTCCTTGATAAATGAAAAAATCAAGGACAAGCCCATCCGGAGAAGCCAATACAAAATTTTTTAAGCCTACTGGATTCGGCTTACATTTCACATATTGCTTTAATTGAGTAGTTCCAGTAAATGGGATCATTTGTTCATCGATACTCAATTTTTTACTCTTTGGAATTGCATTGCATTTGTTAATAACTGTATCCAAAATAGGTTGAATTTTCCAAAGTCTGTTTTTCTCCTTCTCTCGGAATTTGGGTTATTGCAGCTACTTTAATGGAGGGTTTATAGTACATCCTAATTCTAGGAAGTTTCATACAACCTGCAATTATGTGTGCACCAACTACCTTTTTATATTCATTTGGGGTTGACTTTAAATCAACATTGCATTGCAATGCATGTATGTTACTTTGCTCACTAACAAAAGCCCAAAAATTTTCGTTGAAATAATCACAAAAATAATTAAAAGGTGTCCACTTCTCTCGATTTTCAACATTCCATGAGTCCTCATTGGATAACTCCTCGTACGTTGTATTAAATTTCTTAAACACCCATTTCATATTTCTATTTGATAACTTTGACATGTCATCGACGCAAAGCACTTCCTCATCAAAAAGTTTTTTTGCGCCTTCAGCAACAACACCATCAAAGTCGCTATCTGCGTCATCTTCGAAAACAATAGCATCTTCATGCGCATTGTGATCTAACAATTCATTATCACTGTCATCTGAAGCGTCTTCAATATCACTCTCCAATAGCAGCTCCAAAATTTTGTCTTCAGTGTATTCTTTTCTCATTGTCATTTTGTACCAAGTGTGCAGCCCGCTGGACACTATATGTTTTTCAGAAAATACCATAAAAATATAATTGCTAATTACTTACCTTTATATAAAGTTTAAAGAAAAAAAGATTTTAAACAAAATAAAACTATTAAATGTATCCAAAAAAAGGCAAATACTACAAAAAAACCGATTTTTTCTTGTACTTAACAATAACAGCAAATTCTCAACAACTTACCAAACACTTTTCACATTATTTTATGGTATTCCCAAAATTACAGGAAAAGGTGCACTAAAATAACAAACACGAAACTATTAGCGAGCTGTACAAATGAATATATAGTAGTAAAACCTTCACAAAACTTCAAAAAAGGCAGTAGAAAAGTGTCCAGCCGGCTGCACGCCAGGACCGAAGAGGTTATTCTTGTTGCAGGTCCTTGCATTTTTAAAAAACCTTAAATCAACCGATAAGGTTATTATCTTCTGTTCTAAGCGAGCTCGTGCTGACGATTTGTCCAGTGATTTATCTCTAAAAGGCCTGTCAACACAATGTATACATGGTTCTCGTGATCAGGTACATAATGCATTAACTTAATTAGAGTAATGTCTCAGAATATAAAATTCTTATAAACTTAAAAAAAATTGTCTTTAGACCGATCGAGAACAAGCACTGGCTGATATAGCGTCAGGTGATATACAGGTTTTGATAGCGACAGATGTTGCTTCAAGAGGTTTAGATATTGAGGATATTACGTAAGTGCTTAGTAGTATTTGAAACCGAATTTGTTGTATTAATTGTTTTTCATTTAGTCATGTTATTAATTTTGATTTTCCGCGTAATATTGAGGAGTATGTTCATCGTGTTGGTAGAACTGGACGCGCTGGGCGAACTGGCACTGCCATAAGTTATATAACACGCTCGGATTGGGGTGTTGCAAAGGATCTCATTCGTATTTTAGAAGAAGCTGGTCAAGCAGCTCCAGAAGAACTATACAGAATGTCCAATCGTTTTGAGAAGATGAAAGAAAGACGTGGTACAGATTTTAAAAGGGGTGGTGGTTTTAATCGCCGTTACTAAATGATATTTTTTTAAAATATGGTAGGGGTATTATTCGATAAACAAGATCGTGAATAACCCTGTTTGATTCGAACCGATCAGTGTTTTACTTAAAAAAGTGTTGATCGTTAAAATTGAAAATTAATTAACAAACTATTTCTAATGTTATTAGTATAATAATGTACAATAAGAAAAATCTAAAATAAAATTAATTAAAAATGTGTATTATTTAAATTGAAATACAAAATTACATTTTAGAATAAGGTTTTAAATAAGAAATATTTAAAATATGTTTTTTATACAGTGAACTTTGTTAATTTAATAAATTTAATCAATTACAACTTTATGATGATTCTATTGTGTTCTTACTTTTTCGTTTGTAAAAGTTTCAACTTTTTCCTGAAAATAAGATATTTTATTTGAAATTTTTTTAAGATGGAGATTAATTATTTGTACAGGCAACGATGTGAGTTAAATATTGTAATCGCTATATACGATTTTTAATCAGAGGCTGATAAAGTTGATTAAATTTCTGTATTAGTAAGTTTTCTAGTTGTTTCATTTAAAATGAATTTTAATAGGATTCAGTTTTAATAGGATTCATAAATGTATTGGATGAGGTATAAAATGAACTTAAAATAAAATATATATTTTTTTCACATTATACATATTTAATTTGAATGTTATTTTAAACAGACAATTGATAGACAATTGATCACTGCTCAAGTATAGTACTGTAGTCAAGTCAAGGTCAAGTCAAGCCAATGAATGCCATTATACTAACTTGAAATCTTTACTATCACTTCGAATGATCATTTCTCACTAAGCCATAGATAAGACCTCCTAAGAAATCAATTCATCTGATCAGCGAAGATCGTTATCGATGTCATTTGAAATAAATCTTTAATTTAATTAATTTAAATAATAAACGTCATTTAATTTAATAAAATTTGTTAAAGTTGTATACATATAATATTTAATAAAAGCAGCTATACGCAGATACGTGTTAACATGGCTGTCTGATTAAATGGAAAAGAAAGAAATTAGAAAGCACGCTTTCCAAATATTGATAAATTTTATCAATAATTTTATTTTATTATTCCATTGCGAGTGTAGATATATATTGTTCGATTTGTGGACTATAGAACAAGTAACATATAGTTGTTCATGTGGAAGATTATCTGTGTTGAGAGTTGAACCACAGTATCCTAAATATTGAACTAAGCTCGCTTTAGATGGTGATTGCAGACGCCAATAGAATTGTGAATTGCAATCTTTTGAATTGAAATGGCATATCCGTTAGAATTATTGGATTGCGGAGATTAAAGACATCTTTACCTTTGAGAGAGGTCTGTAATATTTGTATGATTAATATAATATTGTGATATATGATAATTGATACTACGATTTTCAATCACAGTAAATGGGGTAGAGTCGATTACGGTTAGAGTGAATTAAAAAATTCTGTTTGATATTTAATCCGTTTGTATGATTTCTTATTTACATGTCGGTTGCTAATTAACAGAATTTCAAAGTGAATTGAGTAGCTCTTCAAAATGATGTAGCATTTATCATTATCATTTTAGAATGAAATTATTTTTCAATATTTTATAACACTCGCGACAAAAGATTGGCCATTGATAAATCAATAGACACAAAAGGGAAAACCAAACGATATATTTTGAATAAATCACCGCCTATTGCTCAAAATATATAAAAAATCATTAACATAATTATTAATATAATGAACTCAAAAACAATCCGAGCTACTCTGACGAAATAGATCTTTAATTTTGAGATCTCTAGTTGCCTCTTTCTCTGCAAATTTAGCAGATTTTTCATTTACGTTGGTATCAGGTACAGGCACAGGGTTTTGACGACGTATTCCAGACGTAAGTGCTTCCAAAATTTCTTAAGAGATCACATTTTTGTTTTTTTCCACGACTGATCTCTGTTTGACATTAGTATGACATTTTTAATGTTGTACCTTTTGCAGAAAGTTTTATGGTATATTGATTCTCAAACCAGCTCTTACTTGCATTATAAAAGACATGTTTGTCGTTTTCTTCACTGTTAAGCAAAACACGATCAGAAATACGGCTGGGTCGTTAATCGAGGTTACTGTTGTACGAAGTAGCTGTTAATCGAGTTATTAGTGTATAGGTTCTTCTGAGACGCTCTTCTCAGAATGCTAATCGGTACATTGTTCTTATCAATGTAACCGTAATTTTATGAATTGAATTTGATATGATTATATGAATTTGATATGAATATGTCAGAACTTTGTAAACTTTTATAATTTAACACATGTAGTATGAAAATAGTATGTGGGCTTACCTATTAAATAGTGTGCTAATCCGATTTATCCCCTTGTGAAATTCATTTGTGTCCAAAAAGTCTAAACCAAATTAATATAGTTACATCACGCAAATTTGAGTATGGGCTGCCAAATGTATTTATATTAATTTTGAAAGAACGACACAAGTTTTCTTGTTCATTGGTTACTTTTGCAAGAGACGAGTCGGTGGTCGGATCGTTTTTTTAGCGGCTTGTGTTTTTTCAATTGGATTTGGTTTTAAGGCTGGTATGTATCTTCCTCCAAAAAATTCGTGTTTCGTGATTCATGATTCGTGATTCGTGATACTTGATACGTGTTTCATGACTTCAGTTCGAATATATGTTCAACTTTTTTCAATTAATTCTGGAACTTGTTAAAAATATTTTATAGTATTAAGAATTTTTGATTTGTTTTCGCAACCGACAAGAACTTGAAACAGCCGCCAATTTTGCTTGTTCCAAGAAATAACTGCAAATATAATGCACATATTAAACAAAAAGTTTTAAAGAAATCATTGTTTCTTTATTTAAAGAATTTTAAAACTATAATTAAAAAACAAAAATTAACTATAAAAAAAAAATCACTGCAATTCACATATATTTAAGGTTATGTGACGTATTTGCAAAAAAAATCTCCATTTGAAATATTTATATAAGAATCATTGCGTGATGAGACTTAAGAAGGCGGCGGCAGTATTATTTTCGACATACTTTAAACATAAGAGTGCAATTGCTTTATTCCCTAATAATCAATGTTAAAAAACATATTTTTAATTTTAATAGTCAATTTTAAATACCGTTTCATATGTTATGATTGAGGAGTTCGTAAAAGCGGTCGTGATTTGAATGTTTGAAATTTGGTTCGTTTTATAGAAAACGGAATAATCAGGTATTCCTTTATTTAGATTTTGCTTACTTCAAAATGGATACTTTTGGAACTGGTGCAACTCAATCTGAAAGGAACGAGTGTGGAGTTTTAAACTCAAACTTAAATCATTTTGATGATTTTATGGAGAAATTTCCTGCAGACCCTGCTTACATTGGTGCCATAATTGGTCGTGGCGGTTGTAAAATTAAAGAAATTAGAACAAACTTCAACGTTTATATACATATAAACAATGACACCAAGGAAATTTCTGTCAAGGGTCGTAATAGAAAAAATGTTGACGATGCAGTCAAATATATTCGTGATATTATGTCTGGTCAAGAAAATAGAAATTTTTCATTTCCAAATCACGAAGTCTCGCACAATCCCAAAGTTGTATTAAAAGAAAATACAATGAATCGTTTTAATGCTTCTTCCGAAAATGACAATATTCAGGTTGCAGCTCCAAAATCTGTAAGTATAAATTAAAAAGAATGAGAATATGGATATATATTAATATAATATCTCATAACAAAATTGATTTAGGGAGAAAGTGGTGGAATTAGATTAAATGCGCCTACGAAAAATGTATATAATGGTGGCGCCGAAAACCATGTAGTATTGCAGCCTATCGATTGGGAAACTTTGAATAGAAAAGTTGTAAGAAAAATTTTTAAAATCTACATATTAAGTTATCGATTTACCATATTTATTTTGCTCACATGAGGCATTTTTGATTACAGGAAGAACATCGTAGGTTACACTGGGCGCATCTGCCAGACTTGAGAAAAAATTTTTATGAAGAAGTAGAGGAAGTCGCTATTAAGACAGAAGAAGAAGTGAATGAAATGCGTTATTTAAACAATAATATAAGTGTTTCCCGTTTGGTGACAAATGAAGATCAAATGTGTCCTGATATACCGAAACCAATTTGGAAATTTCAACATTGTTTCAAAGATTATCCTGATATCCTTGATGAGTTAAAGAAACAAAATTTTAATGAACCATCACCAATACAGAAGCAAGCATGGCCTATATTATTGAGAGGCGAGGATATGATAGGTATAGCCCAAACAGGGACTGGAAAAACTTTAGCATTTCTGCTTCCTGCTTTGATTCATACTGATGGACAGACTACACCACGTGAGAAACGTAATGGTCCAAATATATTAATTTTAGCGCCAACGCGAGAATTAGCATTACAAATAGCAAAAGAAGTTAACAAGTACTCGTTCCGTGGAATAAAAGCGTAAGTTAGGAAATAGTTAAACCATAGTTTAAAATGAATGAAGAAAAAAAATTATGAAATTCTTATTCAGTGTATGCATTTATGGTGGTGGGAATCGTCGTGACCAAATTAGTGTTTTCAAAGAAGGAGCTGAATGCGTTATTTGTACTCCTGGACGTCTTAATGATTTGGTTCAAGCTAAAGTTATAGACATTACATCAGTTACATATTTAATACTAGACGAAGCGGATCGTATGCTGGATATGGGTTTCGAGCCACAGATCCGAAAAATTCTACTCGACATACGTCCTGACAGGCAGACCGTCATGACTAGTGCCACCTGGCCACCAAGTGTTGGTAGATTGGCCGAAAGTTATATGAACAATCCTATTCAAGTGTGTGTTGGTTCGCTTGATTTAACTGCCACTCATACTGTGAGTCAAAATGTAGAACTCTTGGAGGATGCGGACAAATTTAATACGGTAATATTATTTGAAAACTTAAATAAGAAGAATTATGAAGAACAATGTATTTATTCTTGTTGCAGGTCCTTGCATTTTTAAAAAACCTTAAATCAACCGATAAGGTTATTATCTTCTGTTCTAAGCGAGCTCGTGCTGACGATTTGTCCAGTGATTTATCTCTAAAAGGCCTGTCAACACAATGTATACATGGTTCTCGTGATCAGGTACATAATGCATTAACTTAATTAGAGTA